GCCTTACGTGAAAGGACTCGTATCTTGCACCAGCCACTGAGACACTTGCCTTCATGTTCGTATTAAAGCCCTAATGATTGCGAGCAGCTTTAGGGGCAGCCGTACTTCTCAAGGATGCCGGTAAAATCCTGGCTAAATGTCATATCTGAAGAAGTGCTCCCAGAAAGTCAGTGCCTTGTAAAAGAGTCCCTGTATTTCCTCATACATTTAGTCAGGATTTTTTTAAGATGACATCATATCTGTGTTATACATTTACACCTGGGAACCAGACAAACGACGTGGTCTTACGTCCTGTGTACAAGTACAAACTGAAATCGCTTTTAAAACAGTGAAAGTGCGGGGCCAGTGTATTTTAGTGTTGGTAGCGGCCGGAGTTACGCGTGCATGCGGTTGCGATGGACATCGCGCGTTATCGTATACCATTTCCAGAAAAAGGGAAAAGAGGCCGCGTCACCGTACCACTTTGAATCCAGTTCCTGACCAGAAACGGGAGACTTTTTGGCCTTATTTACTCAGTTCTCATCCTTTTTGACCTATCAGAAAATGATCAGTAGCCTGTAGTACGTGTAAAAACGCATGTTCTGTATAACCCTTTTAAGCTACATTGCCTCTAAAGACTTGTCAATCATATTCTGCCCGACTCTGCATGTTAGGAATCAAAGAAATACAAGACGTCAATGTGGGGAAATCAGAAGGGGTAAGAAGTATCATCCTGGGCGAAAGGTTAAATGTGACCCAACTTTTGGCATACCGGATGAAGGGTTAGGGTTAGGGGTTAGGGTTAGAAGGGGTGTCCCCGTTCGGTGACTCTGAATAACTTTTGACTCCCGTGATCTTTGACCGTGAAACTTATGGCAAAAATAGCACTACTCTTCATCTACCTTGTGTTCAAGTTTAAGGGTCATAGGTAAAAGAGTCACATAGGGCCTTAGCGCAAGTTTTTCCATGAAGTTTGTACACAACTACTAGGGAAGACTTGAATCGGCTATAACTGTTGAATTGCGACTCCAATGCAAACCAAATTTATACAAAAGGAAGAGTGTCTGCTTGTGGTCGTTTACGTAGAAGTATGGCAACTCAAGTATATCTTTTCAGTAGTTACAATGGAGTTTCATGTGGCCTGTTTCCAGACGTGTAAAAAACATATGGGTATGTACAAAAGTGTTAGGGTTGGGGTTGGGGTTAGGGTTAGGGTAAGGGTTGCGGTTAGGGTAAGGGTTAGTGTTAGGGTTAGGGGTTAGGGTTAGGGATTGGGGTTAGGGGTTGGGGTTAGGGTTGGGGTTGGGGTTAGGGTTGGGGTTGGGGTTGGGGTTAGGGTTAGAGGGGGTGTCCCCGTTCGGTGACACTGAATAACTTTCGACTCCCGTGACCTTTGACCCTGAAACTCACAGAAAAGGTAGTGCAACTCTTCATCTACCTTGTGTTTAAGTTTAAGGGTCATACGTCAAAGGTCCATGGAGTTATAGCCTTTTTCCCGAGGGCACTGGTTTTTTGGTGACCCCTTGAAAAATCACTGAAAATGACTCGCGATCCAGGTTTGGATGCATTTTCCATCCGAATCAAGCCACAGGCTATCATTTGGGACCAAAAAATTTCTAATGTTTTTCTTTATTTTTTAAAAAAATTGCCCGGAAGTGACGTCATAACTTTCGTGTTGTACGAGATACGAGGATGGAGTCTGAGAGAAAGTTGTTTGCCTTGAGGTACTCTTTTGAATGGTACCACTTTTTATCCTGTGGGGTGTTCCCTTTAGGCTGGGTATAGAGGAGAGCCGTAGGGTATGTGTATTAATGCATAGGGCCTTAGCGCCAGTTTTTCCGAAGTATAAAGTTTGTACACAACTACTAGGGAAGACTTGAATCGGCTATAACTGTTGAACCGCGAACCCAATGGGTACCAAATTTATACGAATGGAAGAGTGTCTGCTTGTGATCGTGTACATAGACGTATGGCAACTCAAGTATATCTGTTTAGTTGTTACAATGGAGTTTCATGTGGCCAGTTTCCAGACGTGTACAACACATATGGGTATGTACAAAAGTGTTAGGGTTGGGGTTTAGGGTTAGGGTTGGGGTTAGGGTTTGGGGTTAAGGGTTGAAGTTAGGGTTGGGGTTAGGGTTAGGGTTAGGGTTAGGGTTGGGGT